GTGCACTTTTGGACGCTACTAAACCCGCGTCGGCCTCTCGCATCAAACCGTTGGTTGAACCAAGGAACTTCGCGTTCAACATCGGCGAGTATGAGTAAGAACAGAGGACGACTCATCCGAAAACGATTACTAAAATCCTCCGGTGTATAAACACACGGATTATTAAAGTAGTCGTTTAGAAGTGAATCGTGGGCGGCCGCTCGATCCCAGTTAAGAGGTTGGCGTCGGGTCCGTCGTCGGGAGGATTCAGCTTCTTCTTGGCCATCTTCCCACCATTGAATACAATTCGTCGCGAAACAACGAAAAAATAAAGCTCTTCTTTCATCGTTGGAAGATGAACCCATTTTTAAATTATATTTTATAAATATTTATAATAAATAATAAATTTTTTTGAGAGAATATATAGTAATAAAGAGAGATTTGTTAGAGAGAGGTGTGAGGAAGATGTATGAGAAGGGGGGATTTTATAAGTTTTTTTTTAAATTTAATTTTTTTTTTTAATTGGGGGGAGGGGGTAACGGCATTATAGCCGTTGGGAAGAAAAAACGGCCCTCACGCCGCGTCATTCGTTTGACGCAGGCGCCCTCACGCCCTTTTCACGCCGGCGGGGGGCGGTGTTTCACGCCCCCGGAGCGTTAAACGCCCCGTAACGCCGGTGGGCGTGAAGGGTATTACCAGTGCTCTAAAGCCTGAAACTTTTATTTCATCATTGTTATTATTCTTTGTATTTAGTTTAATTTGTGAAATATATGAAGTAAATGTGTATTCATCCTGGTAAAAAAAGATACTACCTTTGTTATAATGTATTTGTTCAATATGATTTTTTTGAATAAAATAGACAAATTTTAAGCATCAATTACTTTTAATTTGTATTGTATTTTAGTATAATGAAATTAAATTTTGAAACTTTTTAATAAGATAAATCTAATAAAATAATTTTATACTAATATAAATTACAAACTTTATTTAATTAAATCAAAGTTCATCTAATTTGATTTAAACACGATAAATACATGATGGGGGGAGTATTACTGCGTACATATTTATTTCAATATATACTAACATCAAACTATCTCGAATTGATATTTTGGGATTTGGGTCAATACAACATAAATTTTTGTATGGAACTGAAACATTTGATATTGTATATAAATACCATAATATGCTGACTACTTATTGAGCTAGATTTCGGGTCGTCGAGACATTATATTATGATGATCATTAAAAATACTTTTCTACATAATTTTAAAATAATTTTTGAACAACATAATGTCTTAATATACTCTATCAGTACTCAATTCATTTGAACGCTGCAAATTACAACGATTATATATATATATATATATATATATATATATATATATATATATATATATATATATATATATATATATATATATATATATATATATATATATATATATATATATATATATATATAAAGATAAATTTAAATACCCCCTCCGTCTTAGAATTGATTTCAATTTTTTCTCTCACCTCTCGATAACTTTTACTTATTTGTGAGGTTTCATTGATTATTTGATAACATAAAATATTTTTATCACCTCATATTTTGTAAAGTTTTTGACGTAGCTTTTTAACATTTACTACCTCCGTCCCAGAGTATTTGTCCACTTTCATTTTTACACACCATCCAATACACTTCTTTAATCCATTTTATCTTGTAATTTGTATATTAAAAAATTATAGAAATTATATATTAATAATCTATATGTTAAGACAAATCAAACAAGATTACACATGAGTATATTTAGGCTTACACATTGAGAGAATTTGATGAGTCAAAGTGCTTAGATGAACAGTTTCAAAAGTCAAAAGTGGACGAATATGGCGGGACGGAGGGAGTATTTTTTATTTTTAATCGATATACTAATTTTAAATAAAATAATTTTAAAAAATGAGAAATTTTGACTCGTAAATCCTAATTTGTAATCAAATTTGAGACAGGAGTAAATAGTAGAAAAATTTACCTAAATAGGACTAAAACATAATGACTTTCCCAATATAGGACAATATGTTTTTATTTCCTAATGTAGGACTTTTGGTCATTATCAAGTAGTCATTATTCAAGTAAATGTCCATCATTACTGGACATTATTTCTCCCACTAAGTCATTATTAAGTCCTATTTAGGGAATAAAAAAGTTTAAGTCCTACATTGGGAAAGTCATTATGTTTTAGTCCTACTTAGTGCAAATTTTACTAAATAGTATTTATAAATACACACAAATTTCATTAAAATTTAAAAGTTCTAAAAAAACATGGTCTAATAAAACTACTCCGTATTTTATTTCATGAAATAGCTAGGGAGTAATTTTTTCAACATTGTTACGGAGTATTTTAGGAGTATTCAATTTGTGTCCAGTTTGATCAGATCAAACTGACAAACTATACCATGAGAAAGAGTATGCGTAAATGACATGCCGAATCCGAAGCTGCGGAGATTTCCGAACTTTAAAGCGAACACACGCTCGGTTGATCATCAACGGCTTCAACTCCGACCGCCACGCTCTCCGACAACTCGTTTACGTCTCTGCGGTGGTTCTCTCGACGGCGATTCACTATGCCCACAAACTGTTCGACGAAATTCTTCAACCAGACCTCTTCATGTGGAACACGATGCTCAGAGGCTCTGCCCAGAGCCCCAGACCGTCTCTCGCCGTATCATTGTACGCAAAGATGGAGAAACTCCACGTGTGCCCGGATAACTATACCTTTCCGTTCTTGCTCAAGGCCTGCACAAGGCTTTCTTGGGTGAAAACAGGGTTTGTAACTCATGGAAAGATTGTAAAACATGGGTTTGAATCCAACAAGCATGCTAGGAATTCCCTCATACATTTCCATTCCAATTGCGGGGACATAAAGATTGCAAGTTGGCTCTTTTACTGTTTTGCGGTGAGGGACGTAGTTGCTTGGTCTGCTCTGACAGCAGGCTATGCCCAGAGAGGGGAGTTGGAAGTTGCGAGGAAACTGTTCGATGAAATGCCAATGAAGGACTTGGTGTCTTGGAATGTGATGATAACTGGATATGTGAAACAGGGGAAGATGGATAGTGCAAGAGAGCTCTTTAATATGGTTCCAACAAAGGATGTCGTGACATGGAACACACTGATCTCCGGCTATGTTCATTCCGGCGAGTACAAACAGGCGCTGGAGATGTACGAGGAAATGAGGAAGACAGGGGAACAACCTGATGAGGCAACCATGTTAAGCCTTTTGTCAGCCTGCACGGACTCAAATTCTCTGGATGTTGGTAAAAAGATTCATTTCACAATCACAAAGATAATCGGGACAGATGAATTAGGTGTCTTTCTTGGAAATGCACTCGTAGACATGTATGCCAGATGTGGGAGCATCAAGAACTCACTTGAAGTGTTCCAAAGCATGGGAGAAAAGGACGTTTCGACTTGGAATCTCATCATCAGAGGGCTAGCTATCAATGGTCACCCTAAAGATTCAATCTTTCTCTTTGAGAAGATGAGGAGAATGAAGCTGGCGCCAGATGAAGTCACTTTCATTGGAGTACTAGTAGCTTGCAGTCATTCTGGAAAAGTGAACGAAGGGCACGAGTACTTCAAAATGATGAGAGTTGAGTACGGTATTGAGCCGAACATCAAACACTACGGATGCATGGTTGACATGCTGGCCCGTGCTGGGATGCTGGGCGAAGCCTTTGAGTTCATAGGTGGAATGGAGATTGAGCCGAATGCCATCATTTGGAGGACTGTGTTAGGGGCTTGTAAGGTTCATGGTCAAGTTGAGCTAGGGAGGGCTGCAAATGCGCAGCTGAGAAAGTTAGGAGCAGGGGAGAGCGGCGATTATGTGTTGCTCTCTAACATATATGCCTCACGGGGCGAGTGGAGTGGCGCTGAAAGCCTGAGGAAGGAGATGGATGTTAGTAGAGTCTGGAAACAGCCTGGTTCTAGTCTCATTGAAGCAGATGAGAAAGCTTTCTTTAACTTCTTGTTTGCTTGATTTATTCAGAATCTAAAACAATGTAAACGGGTACTCTCCCTACCAATTTTACATTGATTGTTTTTCCTTTTGGTTTGTCCCAATTCCTCCCAAATTTCCTAGCATTTTTTCTTAAATGGAAAACAATATTCAAGTCATATTTTTTTTCTTAAATGGAAGACAAGAAAAATAAAATGAAGCAAGCTACTAGGGTAAACACAATAAATTTACCCCCTTAACATGAGACGCTTCCCCACCGGAATCTGAACGTTCCTCGGCAATCATCAATTCATCATCTTGAGAAGGCAAAGCCTCGCGTGAGGAAACGAGGGAGAAGTGTAGCCAAGAATGACTTGCCAATCATGTTCATCTCATGTCCATGAGTATATGAGAGGTGTTTGCCGCCACGGCCACCGGCAAGTCATCCTTGGCTGCACTCCCCACCCTTGTTTCTCTCATGCAAGGCTCTTTCTCATACAAAAAATAAAAGAAAACACAAACATGTAATTTCTTAAACGAAGCAACAAAAAAAATGTACAGCAGTGGTTTGCTAGGAAATGGCAACCCCATTTCATTGATTAATAAGAAATGGGAGAGGGTATTACTGGAAATTGCCTAGCTGCAGCTATGCATTATATTCTGTGTAATGACCAAAGAGAAAAATAAGAGTGCACAAAAAAAAGAGAAAAAAAAGGGTAAGACATGACCATCCACTGTCAATTCTAAAGATAATACTGTATATGTGCAAAGTATTCTGCCTTTGCTCCTTGGTGTGCAAAGTATTCTGCAACTTTGGGTACCCCAAGCTTTATTATTCATAAGTTTATGTACATTAATGATTTGTACTGGCACACTGGTGACACACACTCGCACAAAATGTCAGTGTGAATTTTTGCGATCACTGACATTTTAAGCTAGTATATGTATATGTCATTAGTGTGCTAGTGCAAAAAAAAAAAAAAGCAAAAAGCATCAAGAAGTTAAATATGGAAGTCCATAGATACATGGAGAGTTGTTTCCCAGCAATTGCTTTTTGTACTTTCTTTCCCTCTGGAGTTAGGTGATCAAATTAAATTTACTTCCACTGGTCTATGTGTATTTATTATGAGGAAAATAACTCATCACTGATCACTCCGTATTTCAGTACTCCCTCTACCTCGGGGTGAAATTTCAAAGTGAGTGATTATGTTCCATTGAAGTTATTTTCAATTCTATTTATTTAAAATTTAGTTTTAGAGTGCACATTTAAAATTTAGATCAAAAGTTTTACAAAATTAGAGAAGATTTCATGTTGTATCTGATACAATTTGATAATAATTTGTTTTGTTAAATAATGAAGGATACATCCCTATATATAGAGATTACAACAGAGAATTATAATAATAATACAATAAGAAAATAATATAATAAAGAAGGTAATTAATAATATTTTATTTCCTATTATCCCCCTCGCACACTGATCAACGGAGACGAGGGGCAGCTTGGAGCGTAAGTATTGGAACGGAGCTCGCAGAATTGGCTTCGTGAGAATATATACTAATTTCTCAAAAGATGGCACATGCTGCGGAGTCATGGTACCGGTCATGACTTCATCTCGCACAAAATGGCAATCTGAACCAACATGTTTCATACGATCATGTAGAACTAAATTTTTGGTCGCACAAATGGTAGATTCATTGTCACAATAAAGGTGAGGTTTCGATGGAGGGATACAAGTATACAACATCAGTAATATATTGTAGCCACATAGCTTCTGCCACGCCTACAACCATAACACGATACTCAGGCTCAGTGGAAGGTCAAGAGACACAAGTTTGCTATTTTGTACACCAAGATATGAGATTAGAGCCAAGGAGTATGTAACCAGTGGTAACTTGCGATCATTTTTGTTAGTGGCCCAATCAAAACGAGAAGCACACTAATATTTTTTTATTAAATTATCGAGTTCCGATCAGAAGCTCCCAATGGTCATACTGAGATTAAAGTTCTTTTTTTTTGAAATTGTTTTTAGTATCTTTTTAGGTCCATTGAGTGCGTAGTTGGGTTGAAGAGTGGGTTTAAAGCTTGGTATTATTCTTTAGTTGTAAAATCCCAAGTACCCGAGGGAGAGAGAAAGGCACAAGGCTATATTCGTTTTTCCCACACCGGAAGTTTTAGGGCTTTAAAACCAAAATATAAAGCTTAGCTTTGGAGAATCAGGTGTGACCTTACTTGAACAGGATCTGTTATATAGGTTGCGCTTCCGAATCCTTTATTCCAACGAGAAAGTAAATCAAACCTGGTTGATGAATAGTGGCTGAGGGGTTAGAGCGTGAGTAGCAGCTTGGGCCTTTACTGGGCTCATGCGGCGGAGGATCGTTCTCAGGTCACTCTGTGGGTTGGGATGGCCTGTTTCATTCTTTTTTATTTTTTTCTCAATTCATTCAATTAAATATGAAGTAATAATAATCTCTTTTTTAACCAATATTAAATTTCAAAATTTCGAGTTTCCATAGCGATTTTGTTCTTTTAACCATCAAACTCTTATTAAATTCATATAAACGAATTACAAATGATAACTAGTATTATTGTTCATTCCTTTTTGTCCACATTTCTTTTCAAAATCAATCAAATGGATTAATAATAATAATAATCAATCTCGTCTCTTTTTAAATTTATATAAACAAATTAAAAATAATAATACATCAACTATGCTTTATAATTAATAGTAGTATATTAACTCGTGTCATAGTAAAACAAATTTGTTTTTGATTTTATAAATAAAATTGTTAGCATATAGTATGTAGAGATATTAGCTTATGTAAATCCTGTACCATGGTGGGCCTATCTTATTGGGCTTGTAACTGTAACTTGTATATATATCTCCGGTATCAATGAAACAAAAGTCATTCAGTTCATAAAATCTTTACATGGTATCACAGGGATATCACCTAAAACCCTAGGTCTACCGCTGCAAGTCCGTCTCTCGATCCGCCGGTCGCCTGCGCCAGTTGTCCTCGCCGGAACGCCAGCAGTCCCTCGCCGGTGAACCGCCTCACGTCCGTCCGTCATAGATTGTCGTCGGCGTTCGTCCATCGTCAGCCAGCCCGTCCAGCAGCTGACCTCCTTCCGTCTATAATAGTCCGCCTCTCGTTCAACCGAATCGAGAGCATCCCCGTCCGCTGCCGCCATCCGATTGCAGAGCATCGCCGTCGCTGACCGTCTAGATCCGATCTTGGAGCTCCGCCGGTTTTTGATCCCCCGCCGGCCGAATTCCGTGTTCCTCAATCAATTCGGTGGTCTCGTCTATTCAGATCGCCGGCCAAATTCAGTCGCCCAAGCCTCTTCGCCGGTTCTTCATTGTCTGCTGGTGTCACCTCTTCTGTCCGCCGATTCACCATTCCCAAAAATTTCCATCTGCTTGTACTTGGAGGTAATTGTATTTGAAGAAAAAGTGGGCAGGCATATAGAGTTGGGCTGTAAATTTGGTTAAGCACCCGTCGTCCACAAAGTAGCCTTAAGCCATATCCAATCACACGTCTTCACAGTGTTGGATAGAGTTTTATTTGGTGTCAAACATCATCATCATCAAATTGATATAACAATATGACCTCTACCTCGTGTGAATGGTTGATTGATAGTGGTGCTTCTCATCATATGACGGGTACTCTGTCTCACATGTTCAATATTGAGGATGTGTTATCTCATCCTATTTGTCTTCCGGATGGCTCCTGGATTCAGGCTACTAAAAAGGGAAGTGTCCGTGTGACCCCTAGTTTGGTTCTTCATCATGTGTTTTACGTTCCCACGTTGCATTGTCATTTGATTTCTGTCGGGTGTTTGATTCGGGACACCACCTGTTATGTTACTTTTAATGATTTTGGTTGTGTAATACAGGACCGTTCGTCGAAGATGGTGATTGGACATGGTGAAAAGCGAAACGGAGTATACATCCTGGTTTCTTCCTCTGCGTCGGCTAATGTGGCTAACGTGGATCCTTTGCTTCTTCATCAACGATTGGGTCATCCTTCCTTAGATATTATTTCCCTTTTACAGTCCAGTAAGTCAGGTTCTGTTATCAAGAAACTTCAAGCTTGTGAGATTTGTTTTTTGTCTAAACAAACTCGTTCTTCCTTTCCTGTTAGTCATAATAAAGCCGAAGCACTTTTTGATTTAATTCATTGTGATTTATGGGGTCCTTATTCCCCGTGTTTGTCATCTGGTGCTCATTATTTTCTCACAATTGTTGATGACTTTTCTCGTGCTATTTGGGTATATCTTATTCGTACTAAAAGTGAGGTAACATCCTGTCTTAAACGGTTTTTTACCATGATTCACACCCAATTCTCTAAAATCATCAAAGTAGTCCGGTCTGATAATGGCACTGAATTTCTCAATGCCCCTTTGCGTCAATATTATGATTCCATGGGTGTTTGTGTCCAAACGTCGTGTGTTGGTACCCCTCAGCAAAATGGTCGAGTAGAACGAAAGCATCGTCACATTCTCAACGTTGCTCGTTCTCTCATGTTCCAAGCGTCTCTTCCAGTCGAATTTTGGGGGGAATGTGTCAAAACTGCTGTCTATTTAATTAATTGCACACCGACAAAACTCTTGGGTGGGAAATCTCCTCTTGAAGTACTCTCGTCCAAACCACAAGATTTGAGTCATCTCCGGGTTTTTGGTTGTCTCTGTTTTGTCCGTCAAACACCTAAACCCCTAAACAAATTTTCTCCCCGTAGCGTGAAATGCATGTTTATTGGGTATCCCTATGGCACAAAAGGGTGGCGGGTGTATAACTTGGACACTCACCAATTTTTTCACGCTAGGGATGTCGTGTTTGACGAATCACAATTCCC